ATCTGAAATATTAAGCTGAAAGTTTTAAAGGGGAGCAAGTGTTTATTCTTAGTAGTTTTATACACTGTTAATTTTCCCCAAATCTATTCCTCCCAGGTCATAGTCCAAAGATTACATACATGTCAAAGCAGTAAGCTTGTGAGAAGATGAATGTGCATACTAAGTAAATAGAACTGCAACAATGTATCTTTTTAACATGTTTTTATTGTACAAAAATACTGTATAGAGGGGTTGCAGTTACATGAGCAAGGTAATGAGTACATTTCCTATCAAGCATTGTTACCCCCTCCTTTGTTTTTCCCCTACCATCCATTCCCTCCCACCTCCACAACTACACTTCCCAGCCAGCCCCCTACCCCATCCCCATCCCCGCCTAAATTGTAAAGTTCATTTTTCAACATAGTGTCTTGTACATCTCATTGTTTCAATAGGGCAACCTGTATCCCTATTTAAGCATTTTGTTATTTCCCTTCCCTGCCCCAAATTAGAGAAGTGTATATACAAGATGCAGGGCACCGACTTCAGATACAGTGAGAACAGGGATATCTTGAATTTGGCCAGAAGGAGAAAACAATACATAAGGGTCAACTACACAAAATAGAATTTGAAACCTGGGGGTCACCAGATAAAATTTGTGAATGTGGAACAGAAAATCTAATCTTTTAATTTTTTAACTCCATTTAAGAATCTCAGAGCCATGCCTGAAAACTGCTATGGAATTAGTACTTCAGGCTTTACCAAGGGCATGCAAATCAACTAAAGCAATTCTAAAAGCATATGGTAAAATTTCTTGCATATTCTTTCAGAGAGATGACTAGGAGCCAGAGTGTTTCTGGGTGAAGTTCTCCATTTAGTTTATAGTCCCACGTTACATAAAATATAAGGATGGTGGGCATCACAGAAGCTACAAGAAAGGTCACTTTCTCTAGAGCCTCTGCTAAATCACTACAAAGGAAATGGACTTTCTAACTCCTTAATTTCATATTTCTGGACTCCAGAAGTGTGAAGAATAACATTTTGTTTTCAGCCTTCCAAGATGTAACATTGTCATGGCAGCCATGGGAAACTAATACATCATCATCCTGCTTGACCTATCAACAGTATTTAATACGATAAAGTCTGCTTCTTATTTTGATTATTTTTTCTCTTAGTAATTTTTTTCTCTTCTAGTATCACTGTCACCTGACTCCTCTCCAACCTCTTACTGTTAGGAGTCTTTTGCTGGCTGTTGAACATGTGCCAGATCTCAAAATGTTGGAGTATCCTAAAGATCGGTCATAGTGCCATGATTTCTCCTTATATTTTCTGGCTACTAAACTTTCTTAAGTCCATTGCTTTACAGACCATGTAGATGTTAATAATTTTCCTATTTATAATTCTAACAAAGACTACCATCTACATTCCAAATCAACACTCCAATAGCCAATCGGCTTTTCTACTTGGGTGTCTAATAAGAATTGGTACAGTCAGGAGAAAACCATTTCAATGAGAGATGAAATAATTTATATCTCACATTTATTCTGTATTAATAAAGGCACCAGGATCTAACCACTTGCTCAGCTTAAAAACCTAGAAGTCACGTTAGTTCATTACTTCTTTAATATTCCATATTAAGCTATAAATGAGCCCTCTGAGTTCTATTTTCAAAACATAGGCATGACTAGTCGGCATCTCTACATCTCCATTGCTACTATTCTTTTGCTTTAATTACTCCTATATTACCACAAGAACACTATGATTTGTCTTCTTGCCTCTGCTCTGCCTCTGCTTACTCACATCTTGACCAACATCCTATACCAGTGGTAAAGTAAGTCTTTCTACAGTATCTACCACATCAGGCCACTTCACTGCTTCAGATTGTCCATTGACTTTCCATTACAATAATTAAGAATATATGACAATATGACCTGGAGGTATAGCTTGACAGTGGAGTGCCTGTCTGTCAAATTCAAAGCCTAGAGTTCAAACCCCAGTACTGCATTGTAAGCTGTCTGATGACTTTCTCTCTGATCTCATCTGTCTCTTGGATATAATATGATTTTTCCATCTCTTGAATATAACATAATTAGTGTTCATTTACTATTCCTTCTTGACATGTTTCTCACTCAACTCTTCATCTAAACTCTTCATTTCATGCAAGCCCCAACAGTTATTACCTACTCAAATGCTTCTCTTAGTTATAATGGCTAAAGAAGCCAACCAATCTCTAGTCAATTTCTGTCAAATCAGTTTTCTAGGTTTTGTTCTCTTAGTATCTATCGAAAGCAGAAATTGATTGTTATATTTGTTACCTTTTTATTTTGTCTTACTTATTTTCTCTCATTCACTATCTAAAATTAACTCCCTATCAATAATGACCACTGGGGATTATATAAGCCTTTTAAATTTCCAATCATGCTCAGAATGAATTATTTCAAGATTAAGAAGGTATAATCCTAAAATCCTGAAAAAAGACACACACACATACACACACACACACACACACACAAACACAAACACACACATACTACACAAGTCAAGGAAGGAATTGTGTGAGATTTGTGTTCTATGTTAACAATGTCTGTTCAGATATCCATAAGACTGATATTCTACAATCTCAGATGTGGATAGTAACCATTTAAGAGTTAACAAATTTAGGGCTGGGAAGGTGGCTCAGTGGTAGAGCACTTGCCTTGCATGCCTGAGGCCCTGGGTTCAATTCCTCAGCACCACATAAGCAAAAAAAGAAAAAAGCTGGAGGTAGCGCTGTGGCTCAAGTGGTAGAGCTCTAGCCTTGAGATGAAGAGCTGAGGGACAGCGCCCAGGCCCAGAGTTCAGGCCCCACAACCGGACCCCCCCCCCCAAAAAAAAGAGTTAACAAATTTGTTTCCTTGTGTCAAATTTCCAACATTTAAGCTGGGCACCCATAGCCTGTTATCCTAGCTACTCAGGAAGGTAAGATCTGAGGATCACCGTTCAAAACCAGCCCGAGCAGGAAGTACTTGAGACTCTTATTTCCAATAAATCACCAGAAAACCAGAAGTGGCACTGTGGCTCAAGTGGTAAAGCATTAAATTTGAGCTAAAGAGCTGAGGGATAGTGCCCAGGCCCAGATTTCAAGCCCCACACAAAAAAAAATTCCCATGTTTAGCTCACTGGTAATGTTGACTACACATTCCCTGCATTAAATACAAAAGAAAAAAAAGTATATCAATTAGAAGGCCATTGAGCCAAGGTAAATGATGATTGAAATGGTGTAATAAGTAATTAGATAAACTTACATTTAAGAGAACATGGGTGAGAGAAGGTAAAGAGCCTATAATAACTATTATGTTTATTATCTGAATAAATGTTCAGATAATACTTTGTCAAAGGAGATCCTGCTGGAAAAGCAAAATTAAAGAAGGGGTTTTGTTTGTTTTTCCACTCTTGAGGCTTGAACTCAGAACCTGGGCACTGTCTCTGAGGATTTTTGCTCAAGGCTAGTGTTCTACCACTTGAGCGACAACGCTCTTTGAGCCACAGATCCACTTTAGGCTTCTGTGATTTAGTACTTAATTGGAGCTAAGAGTTTCATGGACTTTCCTGCCTGAGCTGGCTTCAAACCATGATCCTCAGAGTTCAGTCTTGTGAATAGCTACAATTACAGGTGTGAACCACTAGCATCATAAAGAAGGTATTTCTGAGAAGTAAACTGGTATCGTTAAAGATACCAGCTTAAGGTCTCTGATACAGTTTGTTCATATGAATTCTAACTGTGGATAATTTTCTGAACCTAGAGAATTTCATTTCCATCCTTAATATGAGTAAAACTTGTTCTCATCAGAGGTTTTTTGTTGTTTTTAATCTGCGGCTTGACCATTGAGGATCATTTTCAGTTTTTGAAACTCTTTAACTAGGAAACACAATTTTAACTATGACAATACAATTTTCTGCCTCTCCTCCAACTTTCTAAGCTGTTCTTTCTATTAAGAATTGGGCACGTTCCTAACTCCTTCTTGTAATTTGCAAGGCCCAGCGGAGTCTAGTTTCTGTCAATATTTCTATCCTCACATCAAAAAAAAATCCCTCACAGCCTGCCTCTTCTAACAATAGCCCTTATTTCAAGCATGGATTTACAATATTAAATCATCTAACCATAATATGATTGTTGTCTTTTTCTTAACTATATTTAAGGTTATTTTTTCCATGTCCAATTGTCAATCAACCTAATAGGAAAATTCCAATATTTTTATTGAGAAAACATTCATAAATAAGACTTCCTTATACACATATTTCTTCTGCAGTTCTAAATTTTTCACCACATCACTTTTGATTGTTTTTCTGTAAGTCACTATAATTCAGCATGAGTGTCTTCCTATTAAATTTAACTTAGAATATTTAAGTCTTATTGTAATTTTGTCACTAGCATCTGTAATACATGCCTATATGTAAGTGTATATAATATGCATAATATGTAATAATTATTTATTATTTGTGGGTAATCTTTACATTTTTTATTTATCCCACGTTCTACTAAAGCAAAAGCAAATTTCTCTTGGATAACTCAGACTGTATCTTTGTATTATATGTTTTCTATCACATTTTCCAAGGTAAGACTATAAAGAAGCTCTAGAACTGTCTTCTAGTCATCTCATAAAATCAGACAGGAGGGGCCAAGCATTGGAGGTCCATGGGTGATAACAAGTTGGTTGTGAGTGAAACATGAGATTAGACTGAAAAGAAGCAGGACATAAGAAGCAGGACTATCACAAAAATGGAGATGACAATCTGTTTGCAATCAGTTTCTTCTATAAGACATGTTTAGAATATTACTTTTACAAGTTTTTTGGGGAGAACTTCTACAGATGTGATGGAAATGAAATGACACAGTACATATATTCCTACAATATCCAAGTATCAAACAGCCATATTTTATCCCTCGTAAGCTGTTTTAGAAGGATGATAGTAAAAGACATTATTGGTGTTAACTGTGCAATCACTGTACATACTTTAAGAGATTTGGGGTGAAATGTACTCACGCTCACTTTCCCAGTGCGATTGTCTTCCTCCCTTACTGCCAGGGCCTTCAGAAAATTGTCCCGCAGATCTTTACCAGCACTTGTCAAGGTCCTGCACAAAGAAAATCTTCAGTTACACTAAAGTGTTTTACTGTCAAATGGAGTCAACAATCATGAATCTTTATTCCAACAGACAGTTTCCTTATGACATAGAAATTATATACACACAATCATTTTTGTGTACTAGATTTTTCAATTTTAGCTGTATAGTCTTTATCTGTAAATGATAAAAATTAGCTTATAAATAATATAAATATCCATGTCAATACTCACCCCAGGTACAATTAATTTCATTTACATTCTCATTTTATTCTCCTTATTACACCACAAATAGTCAAAATATTTGTGCCACAAACATGTTTAATTGTCTGTGATTTAAGTATAATTAATTCAAGTAAGAAATTGAAAATTATGAGGTAGCTAAGCCAGTATTGGTAGTGGATAGAACATCAGATTAGTAGAAGAAATGCAGGCAAGAATATAGAGTGTGATGTCTTTAGTAGATAAAAGGAAGCATTATGAGTTAAATTGCTATGTGCACAACTCCAGAAGACCAGGAAACATGAACACATAGGCACACAAATACACACACACACACACACACACACACACACACACATCACAACAAGTTATTTCTGTCCTTGAAAGCTTGGGGAAGCCATTGATGTCCCTATCAGGAGGAAGTGTATTTCAATGTCTCTACAGAAAAAATGTCCACCAGAAATACAGAGATAATCAGAAATGAAACCACATGTATCATTTTGTTGTTCTAGTTTCGATGTTTGAGAAGTAAATTTTGATAGCGTATGTTAGCCTAGTGTTTAAAAACATCATTACAACATAAAGTCACTGAAATATTTAAAAAGAGGGGGAAAATCAAGGTAAAAATGACTTGTCACAGAAATTAGATTTAAAGAAAATTCAAAAGAAACATCTAAAGTAACAAAGAGTGAGTTTAAGAGAGATTTATAAATGAATGATCATATCCTCTATATAGTAATTTTCTATATTTTTATTATTATCCACTATGTCCCAGGAATTGTCTCAGGAAAAAAAATTATAATTCCCCACCATTTCAGTTGCTTGTGGTCTCAGAGAAAAGGTAAATGTGTAGCCATATACGTATACTATATCATAACTATGTTAACAGAGATATATGTGGTCATAGTGAAAGCCTTACCCAAGAAAATCATTGAGAAATATGGTCACATACATAGGAAAAGAAGATTTAATGTCAGTAACCTGACAGGCTACCTTATGGGTGGAGAGTAGCAGCTGGACGGTGTTATAAACACAGTTTTATAGGGCTGGGTTCATGTGGAAGGGGTTAACGTTTACAGTTGTATCTGCATAAACAAGGTAGAGAGAAATTGCATTTTGAGAAGGGGCTGCCATTTGAGATTGCAGCTACCTGCATCACCTGTTTTCAAGTAAAAGCCTGTGTCACCTGTTTACGGGGGAAGGCCTGAGTCACCTGATTTTAGGGAAAGGCAGTTTTGTTTTTGCTCAAGGTCTAACTAAGGTGGGAGACTAGGTAAGAAGATGGAGGAGAAAAGGCTAACACATAGTATCAGAGTTCCTAAGAAAAGATTCTACCTATTCAAAATGATTCACTTAACATTACAAAGAAAAACAATTATTCTTAAACTGAATGCTAAAAAATAAGACACTTTTAGCCATTCATGGAGTGGGGGTGGAAGATTGGAAAGGTATCTATAACTGCAAAGGAATAAAAGATAAATAATTTCAAGACAAGTTTTGGTAACGGCAAAATAGTCAGAAAGTAAATTTGGGAAGCAAGGGAGAAACCACATACTATTAGAGAAAGTTGCCACTTGCATAGACATCCCATGGCAGATATTTAGTGAGGCCACCCAGCTAGCAGGAAGAAAACCTGGGCTCAAACCCAGGGCATCCAGTCCTAAAACACGGGGTGATGTTTTCCTTCTAGGAAGGCTGCTTAAGGAGCTTAGACCTTCTCTTCCTGGAGCTGTTAAACCCCAAAGACTTCACATGAGGAAACAAAATGGCTAATTCATATTTGACACCTTTGAGGAACAGCCAGAAGAGAACAATATTGAGTGAATTAATTAGAGGATTGTTTCAAGTTTAAAACTTTAGCTGAGTTAAACAGTGCTGGAGGGTAGAAAGAAAACGGGCCTGATTGGTGACTGCTTTGGGCAAAGATTTAAGCATTGATTACTGCAGGTTTCATTAGAAATAGGTTTCATGATCTAGAAATACAGCTCTTTAAATTGACCATGCTTCCTTTTGTTTTGCTAGTTTTGGGTTAGGGGGTTTGCAGGAGCAGTGATAATAATCCAAACAACCAAATGCAAGGGAAATACAACCACTAATTCACATAGACAAAGAAAATCAGATATTTGAGAATGTTTCATTCGTTTTTCTGTTCCTATATCCTATACGCTGCTGTAATACTAAATCTCTAAAGTGTAAAACTCATTTTGTCAATTGTTTACTCAGAAAACATGCTCTACTCCACCACTGCTCACAGGATAAATTGCTAATCCCATCGTGAATTTCCTGTTTGTGGTCTGTTCAGAATCAGTGTGTTAGAAATTCTCTATAAGGTTTCAATAAATAGTTAGTTTTACAAGGGCAACAGTCAGAACTAGGTTGGTTTTGCTGAAGAAACAAATGACCCAGACCCCAAGGGTTTACACTTATAAAAATTATTTCCCAAATATACTATGATATTTTTCCATTTTTGTCTTTGAAATTATGACAATCAATGTTCTTCCAGTAAGTCCCCTTTTAGTTCATTAGAATTTGTTCACATTGCTCACAAACAAAACCTGTTATTTATCAAAGAGCTTTCCAGTTGAGACAGTCTCAAGTTCCCACAGGTTTGCAGGTGTTAAGCCTACTCTATTCCTACCACCTCCCAAAATATTTTTTTTTTTTCTTCTACTTTCTTCTAGAAAGTTTCTTTTTTTTTTTTTTTTTTTAATTTTATTTTATTTTATTTGAGAACATACTGTACAGAGGGGTTACAATTACATGGGCAGGATAATGCATACATTTCTTACCAAGCATTGCAGCCTCCTCCTTTGTTTACCCTTCACCTCCCTTCCCAGCCTCCCCCCTCCCTCCCACCCAATCATACCCCCCCACCCCCCCCCCACCGACATTGTAAAGCTGGTTTTGACATGACATTTTGTACTTCTCATTGTTGCAACAGGTCCACCTGAATCCTTAAACGACTTGTTTGTCCCCATCTCCTCCACATGTTATACTGACATCAAATATAGTGAAAGCGGGGGTTACACTGTGGGGGAGGGACATACAAAGCAACAAAGAAATAATCTTATAAATGCGTTAGAAACACATGCATGAAAGAAACAAAAACATTAAAATACATATTTGAGGGTTCGTTTTCCTAACATCACATTATCTGACTTTTTCCGCTTGACTCATACCTATACTAGATATTGCAAATAAGGGAAACCATGGGACCTATGTTTCTTTGGGCCTGGCTTACTTCACTTAATATAATTTTTTCCAAGCCTTTCCATTTCCTAACAAATGGGGAAATGTCATTCTTTCTGATGGAGGCATAGAATTCCATTGTGTATATATACCACATCTTCTTGATCCATTCATCTACTGAGGGGCATCTGGGTTGGTTCCATGTCTTAGCTATGGTAAATAATGCTGCAATAAACATAGTTGTGCTGGTAGCTTTAGTGTGGCCTTGTTTGTGATCATTTGGGTAAATGCCCAAAAGTGGGATTGCTGGGTCGTTGGGGAGCTCTATGTGGAGTCTTTTGAGGAACCTCCATACTGCTTTCCAAAGTGGTTGAACAAGTTTACATTCCCACCAACAATGAAGTAAGGTTCCTTTCTGTCCACATCCCCTCCAGCATCTGTTGTTGTTAGAGTTCTTGATTTTTGCTGTTCTAACTGGAGTGAGGTGATATCTCAATGTTGTTTTGATTTGCATTTCTTTTATGGCTAGGGATGTTGAACATTTCTTCATGTGTCTATTGGCCATCCTTCCTTCTTCTTCAGAGAAGCTTCTCTTTAAGTCTTTCGCCCACTTACTTATTGGGCAGTTGTTTCTTTGAGGATTTGTTGTTGGGTGGTTTAATTTTTTGAGTTCCAAGTATATTTTAGATATGAGACCCTTGTCCGTTGTATGGCTAGTAAAGATCTTCTCCCAGTCCGTGGGCTTTCTATTGATCTTGCTAGCTATGTCATTTGCCCTGCAGAAGCTCTGCAACCTTATACAATCCCATTTGTCCAGCCTTTCTTTGATTTGTTGTGTTTCCGGGTCTCTATTCAGAAAATTTCGGCCTGAGCCAAGGAGACCCAGGGTTTCTCCTATTCCATCCTGTAATGTTTTCAGAGTGTCTGCTTTGAGTTCAAGGTCTTTGATCCATTTGGAGTTGATTCTGGTGCAGGGTGATATATAAGGATCTAGCTTTAGTTTTCTACATGTAGTTAACCAGTTTTGCCAGCACCATTTACTGAAGAGGCTGTCTGTCTTCCATTCTATTGTTTTAGCTCCCTTATCGAAGATTAGATGGCTATAAGTCTGTAGGTTCATTTCTGGGTTTTCAATTCTATTCCATTGGTCCTGAGGTCTGTTCTTATGCCAATACCAAGCTGTTTTGATTACTATGGCTTTATAGTAGAGTTTGAAATTTGGTATTGATATTCCTCCAGCAGTGTTCTTTCCGTTGAGGAGCGTTTTTGCTATTCGGGGTCTTTTATTGTTCCATATGAATTTTTGGATTGCCTCTTCTATTTCCTTGAAGAATGAGGGTGGAATTTTGATAGGTATTGCGTTGAATTTGTAGATAGCCTTGGGAAGTATTGCCGTTTTCACGATGTTAATCTTTCCAATCCAGGAGCATGGGAGGTTATGCCATTTTTTAAGTTCTGTGTTGATTTCCTTTTTCAAGATTTTAAAGTTTTCATCATAGAGGTCCTTCACTTCTTTAGTTAAGTTAATTCCTAGGTATTTTATTTTTTGTGGGGCTATTACAAATGGAGTTGCTTTCCTAATTTCAGCCACACTTTTCTCAT